TCGAATTTCCCTCGTTCCCTTTGTAGCGTTCAGCCCTTGTCTTTCCATAGTCCACAGTCTTCCTCGAGTATGAATTAAATCGCATCTTCTTGGTGCATTGAAACTCTCGATTCCATCGGGTAACCACGCTAAAGACTCTTGGTCAAGGTACGAGCAAGATCTCATGCTTGGTGGGTCTTGGTGGCTTTGATTGAAACTTACCCAAGCATTCTGTAGTGTTTGGTAGCATTGCATGGTCTCTATGCAGCTCCTGGTGAATTGTTGCTGCATCAAACCTCCCCATTCCTTTGTCATGTTCCGTACCCTTGCAGGGTCATGATACCAAGATCTTGCGGGGTTGTTGCATCAAACCCCCCCATTCTCTCTGCAGGGTTCACAGCCCTGTCATGCTCATTGTACTCATGACGTCGTTTCTGGCGGTCACATCTAACCACTTTCTACGCTCCCCGTACCATCCACTGCCGTTGCATGGTCGTGGATGGTCGTGGTACGAGACGCATAAGGCTGTGTCAGAGCTCTCTACTCGGCCTGCAGTGATGCGCAGAGCATTGTGATGTGATGTGACTTTCATGATGCGCAGAATATGATGCTGGTGGCTCGTAACATCTCCCTGCTCCTCTCTGTAATGTTCCTCCTCTGTAGTGATCACTACCCTACGCGCAACATCCTGCTGGTTGCAATGAACCTTCCTTCTCATTCTATCGTGTTATGTCGTGTTCCACACTTTTGCAAGGTCTTGATTCAAGCCACTTCGTGCTTCATTTGACGTGTTGCTGTTCCTGTAGTTCTCACTATATCCTGCCCAAGCATGGTCATGCTACGAATGACATGAGACTCGGTGTTTAGATCAAACCTCCCTAAGCTTTCGTTATTGGTGCGTACCCTTGCATAGTCATCGTACCAGACGCATGATGCCTGGTTGTGCATGTAGCCTTCCTTGAAATTGTCGTCGCTGTTGGAGGGTCGCGTCTTTGTGCTGTGTGCTGTGCACAGAAGCGCCAACGGTCACAGGATGGGGCCCCTCAGGGTCGCCATCATCGTATGCGTCGTCGCTTATGGATGGCCATGTCTTTGTGGCGTGTCGAAAGTGTCAACGGTCACAGGGATAGGGCCGCTCGAGCTCGTCACATTCGGATGGTCATGTCTTCGAGGCGTGTCGAAAGTGCCAGCAGTCACAGGGATGGGGCCGTTCAAAGCCACTGCTTCATCATCGTGGCTGCATCGCGTGGCACAAGTGCCAACAGTCGGGATGGGGACCGTCGGGATCGGCATCAACTTGGACGTTTGCCGGGACGAGGCTGTTTAGTAAAGTGGAACGGAGCGGTGTGGAGTGGAAAGTGAAGTGGACGGTGGGGTAGAGAATGGACTGGTGATTGGACACTCGAGCATGGGGTGGAGAGCGGAGTGGAGAATGCCGTGGAGAAGGAATGGGGAAAGTAGAGTGGAGAGTAGGGTGGAAAGTGGAGAGTGGTGGCACAGAAAGTGGAATGGAGCGTGGACCAGGGAGTGCGCAGAGTGGATGGAGTAGAGGATGAAATGGGGAGTGAAGTGGGGCAGAGTGTGGCAGGGAAAGTGCGGAGTGGAGCGTGGCGTGGAAGGAGGAATGGAAATTGGGGCGGAAAGTGGAGTGGAAGTGGAATCAAGAGTGAGGAAAGCGGAATGGAAAGTGCGTGCAAAGTGGCTTGAAGAGTTGACTGGAGCATTGAGCCTGGAGTGTGGAGAGCGCAGTGGAGGGGAGACTGGAAAGCGTGAAGCGGTGATAGTAGAATGAGAGTCAAGTGGAGAGTGGGGTGAGGAAAGTGGAGAAGGGGGAGAGAGTGTGGCAAGTAAGTGGAGAGTGAGCTGGAGTATGGAGAAGAAAGTGTAGTGGAGAGTGGAGTGCAAAGTGGACTGGAAAGTGGACTGCTTGGGACGTGGAGTGGGCAGTGCGGTGTCAAGTGGGTTGGACAGAGGCGCGGACAGTGGATACGTCTTCTATGACTATGCAGAACGGAATGTGGAGTCTGGATTCTGGGGGGGCGTAGAATTGGAAAGACGAGTGGAAACTGGAATGCAGATTGGAGTGGCGCGAGCAGTTTCGGAGGCCCCTTGGAGAGGTTTTCGGAGATGCTTTGCCTTCAAGCGGTCTGTGCTACGCTTCCCTCTTCCCGTTGTGCTCCCCTGCTTATGCCTGGCTAGCTTCCATTTGCCTCAGCTCGCCTTACAGGTTCTATAGTAAAGTTTAATTAGGGTTTAGGGTCCGATGAGTCCAATGGGTCTTCCTTTTGATCATATCACAACATTCCTAATCTGGTACTTGTACCATCGCTTAAAGGCTCCCTGTTGCACAGAGCCGGCAGATTCGCTTAGGGCGAGGGCGGTGTTGAGGGGCAAAGTTTGTCATGCCGTTTTCAGTCTTGTCTTAGTTCTGAGAATGTATGTTGCAAGGCTATTTTCATATCTGCGTACACAACAACACGCAACTTGGAGCTCTGAGCCTTCAATCGTTAGAGATATTCATGTTGTCCGTCAAGCGGCTCGGGAACGCTGAGCGTTTGACATCATTTAAAGGACTCAAAGGACCACAAGCCACGAACCTTGAACCCATGTAGCAGGAGTAACGGACACCGATGATAGGCTTTGTAAGAGCCCATATTATGACATTTGACATGCTATTTGATGTGATTCCAGGATAGCCCCCAATTAGAGGTATAGTATGTTATGCAAACGACAAAATCTTATTTGGTTCGACCACCAGAGAATCACTACTTAAAATGTGCTGTGTGCCAGCGCCATCAGCTGTATCATCATCAACTGTGATTACGGCCACGAGCAAGATGTCGATTACTACGACTATGACTAAGTATGACAGTCTTGAGCTGTTCCTGAACTGTGACAGGTGGCCAAGCCGTCGCGACAGGCTCAAGCTGCTTTCAGTTGGCTTAGTCTGTCTTCTTTTCTGACCGTTTGGTTGTAGGCAGAAGGGGCTGGGATGTCAATCCGTAACATGCAGTACGCAGCTTGAGCTGGCATTGCAAAACAAAGCGGGCGTGACAATTGCATGAAATCGTCTTGTCCTGACAGTGCCTGAGTACATTGACTTGGGAAATCTCGCATTGTCATCATTACCCTTTTGGAGTTCTCAAGTCAATTAGCGCTCGGCTGAGCGTCAGGTCAGCGCTTTCTCAGGACTGCATCACCGCGAAGCCATGCAGCACCCCCAGCCTTGCTGTGGGCAGTGTAAGGCCAAGCAGCTTCAGGGCTGTAAACAGCTCTGCCCTGCTTAATGCGGATTTTGCATGAAGCATGTGTGTTCAATGGTAACCGTTCCGTATAAGCTATCAATACATATCGCATCGCGGAACAGGTGTTTTAACATGTTGGTCTGGAGGTTGGGCTTACTCTCCAAGTTGATCTCCAGGTAAAGTCCACAATCCAAAGCGAGTTACGCATCAGGCGGCAGGAATTACCTTGCCAGACCAGTACGATCAATCGTCCCCCTCCTGTTTTAGAGATGATTTTGTCCCTTGCCTCGCCGCCCATGGCTGGGAGGGCATGCAGACGTTTTTGTGGGGCTGATTGCCAAAGATCATGAGCAATGAAAATGCCCGCGGTGGCATCCGGTTTCATGGAGGTGTGCACAAAGCGCGAACTGCTCTCATCGCCACATCTGGCGTTCACATTATAAGCCCTTCAGCGATTTGGACGGCCTTGCCTGCCGCAGTGTAAGCCAAGTTTGTCGTGTAAGGTGCGACATCAGGCATAGGTTATGTTCTAATTCAAACCATGGCCATGAAAACTTGATAATCAGAGACCACGTTGCAAAGGCCCTTTGAAGCTTAAAGTGGAGGGTGGCAGTTTTATGTCTGCAGTGAATGACCCTCCAGCGGTAGGCAGACTGTCTTTGTACTTCTTTCTCTTGAGCAATCAATCTGCGAGGCTTTGCGACCACGCCATGCATCTGGGGTTCCCAGGACCTGGCTGACATGTCACTCAGAGCATGATGCGCTACATACTCCCCTTTGCTATGCTGTGCATCTGCACGTTAAAGCTAGCGGTACAAGCTTGCCTCAGTTTTGGCACCTGGTTGTGCGAAAAAAAGTGCAGGACATTTGGCAGCCAACGAAGGTACTGAAAGACTTATCATCCTTCCTCATTGATAACAATTCGACCACAATCCTTCGCAAGGATTGGAGCCAGAGCTTCCGGCAACATCAGCCTAGCCTTATGGGACAGATTCCCAGCATCTTGAAGATGCCTGTCAGCCTCAGATCTGAAGGTAGGCTTCAAGACCAGCATCGTGGAAGATGTATCCGCACAGTGGGTGCTGTGTAGCAGACTCGGCTTTAAACGCATGATTACAATAGACCTGCGCATCTCTTTAAACTGAAGTTGACAAGCTGAAGCCGGAAGCTCTCGCTGCGACTCCAACTTTGCCAAGAAGCTGAAAATTGGCGTGCCTGTGTGGGTAGTCATAGCATTGCCCCATTGGAAAGCAGCATCTCCAGACGCTCGATGAGACAAGAGAATGGAAATAAAAGCATGACTTCAATGTGGTGGGTGCATCAGGTTGCTGTCCAGCTGTCACACTTGCCCTACCTTGCACGAACCCCTTGACACAAGCACACTCGCTTGGTAAAGGTTCGCAGGGCTCCGGGTTGTTGGCATCCCTTGCACACGGCGGCAGTTCGACAAACAGGTAACTGCCGAATGAAAGAGATAGCCCCTCTACACCGTTGCAGGGATGTAGCCTCAAGCCCCACCGCTGCAGAATAGGATACTTGGGGATGTGCCAGACTTACTTGGTACGACTGATATGGATTGCTTTGGCATGATCTTCCACAGTCTCCGCATATTGCATTAGAATGCCAGGTCGTGGCAGGAGACATGCGATCCTGGGAAGCTCCCAGAAAAGCAGATGCCCGCATGACAGATTGACAGAGTGCAGGTTCTTGTCTCCCGTGCCCAGACACACCTATGGCCAGGGATCCAACACTGTTCACCACCTCCCCACATGTTAGGTCATTGTCAGCGAGCTGCTGGGCTCCTTTGGCGATAACGAGCTCAGCTTGAGCCTAAGACACCAGACAGGAATGCTGGGATCATCTGAGTGCGGTAGACGCATGGCGCGCTTGTTGCTGTTAGCCAGCTCAGACTGCACGTGACGTCAAAGCCCTGATCCCACCTCACCCGCACTCGTGAAACTCATTGGGACTTAACATGAACTCACTTGACGCGGTGTTCGCTCATGGTGGCTAGTCCGACTACTAGTCGATGGAAGTATTACGTTTGTACGCAGCAAGATAAGCCGTGCACCTATCCGGCCTGATGCAACAAACCTAGTTTTTCCGATTCGGCTTCCAAAGATCAGTAGATTAAGATTCAAATTGCAGCCGCACGCTGCTCAAAGTTATGCAAAGTGCCTTGTCAAGCTGTTTGGCGGCATGCTATCACAACAGCTACTGGTACTTTGAGGTCCCGAGTGCCTGGATGGTGCGTTCTTCAGCCGCAATCTGTGTAGTAATGTGAAGACCTCTTGTTCAATCTGGGTGAGCTGATGTGAGCTGCTGGCAACCCGAGGCAGCGTTTTTTGGCTGAGGATGGCGTTTGTATCCCTCAGAGTTGCTTGGATGCACGCTGGGCCAAGTGGGTCTGGAAGAAGAATAACCCAGCCTTTGCATGCAGGTGCTGGACTGGCGTGTTGCAATGACTTCTGCAGGGTGCTGTATGTTGAAAGTCCGAGAGGCTATGAGCATGACTGGGGATGCCGTTTTCACACCAACTTCCAGCATTTCTAACTTGATTGTTATACGCGAAAGAAGGAGCTCTCGGTGTCAGTGTGGATCAGGTAAGGCTCCCCATGCTTTCAAAGACCCGAGCGCAGAGTGACAAATTGGAGATGACAATAACGGAACCGCACGAAGGGCTCCAGATTCTGAAAGCACCTGACTGAGACTTTGGCAAAATTCCAAGTACCCTGTGCTTGAAAGTTAGACCTTATACTTGGCTGGCAGCTTCATGCTAGCTGCATTGCCGCGTTGGAGAGGCAATTGGCACTGCTGATCATTCAAGGATTTCTATGCCCTAAAAAAGAACTGCTCCAAGCATGCAATGGCAAAGTTTTCAGCTTCCAGTGCCTCAGCAATCTGCAGATTTTGCACTGGCAGGCTCCTAAGTCCTAAGCCTGCCCGAATTGGGCCTGGCTTAGTCTGGCGAGCATTTCATCAGTCGGAGAAGATGGCAAGTTTGCTTAGTTGGCTCATTTTGGCACTGCAGGCTACACGGCAGCACTGACACCTGTATCAGCTCCTGGACTTTGGACTGATGCTCAACAGGGTGCTGCTGGGGGTGGCCAGGCGGATTTGGAGGCCAGATTCGGTCGTGCTGCACGGCCAGCACACTGCAAGAACAAATCCTGATTCAGAATTCAAAATCCACGCTTCAGAAACCAAAAATCCACGATTCAGAAACTAAGCTGAAACTACACTTCTCGAAGCCATGGGGTGGGGGTGGTGTGTGGGGGGGTGGCGTTTAGTTTCCGAATGCAGGGTTTTTCATTTTCGAATCTTGGAGTTTTGGTTTTTGTGTCAGCGTAATTTCTGTTTCCGAATCGGAGTTTGTAGTGTTCGAATCATGGTTTTAAGTTTGCGAAGCAGGTTGGTTTCTGAATCAGAGTCTTCAGTTTCCGAATCTGTGTTGTTACAGTAGTTTGCGAACCAGGGCTTTTAGTTTCCGCATCGAGCGTAGTCACTGCAACTACTAACTAGGCTACAAGTAGTGCCCTGCCGTTGCTCCCACTGAGACTGGGATCGTGTCTTCAATTGCGCATGCGACTGCAACGACAGGACGGCCACTTGCACCACCACCACCACCACCACCACCACCACCACCACCACCACCACCACCATCACCACCATCACCACCATCACCACCATCACCACCATCACCATCACCACCACCACCACCGTGACTTTTTCTTTCCATCGCCACAGGGAGGTCTGTGATGCGTGTGCGTGACCATGATGATGATGATGATGATGATGCTGATGGTGATGGTGATGATGATGATGACGATGCCAAAGACTGCGCCCACACCGACAGACTACAGGACCTACTACAGTGAAAAAGGCTTTTGCCATTACTAACCTAGTGCCGCTACTGCCACCTTTGCCACTGCCACGGCCGCTGCCATCAGAACACCACCTGCCAAGCTCCGCAAGCCAAGCATGAACAGTCAAAATGTAGCTTGTGCAGTAGTTTTTGGTGCGTTTGCCATACAGCTTCTCTTTCCTAAGTTGTCTAGCATTGCATGGCCTAGCCATCTTGTGCACGATTGCGACGTCTTGTGCCAGACAGCCTATGTCGTGAACTTGCACCACGCATTCTTCCCATGCAGCGCTATAAAGGACGGGCTACCACATGGTTCGATTAAGTGTGGCATGCGTCGAGCATTAAGATTGCTAGAGTAAATGAAATGCTTGAGGAAATCTGTGCTGTGGTATTCGTATTGGCCCGACCTCTCTGGCCTACTCAACTTGATCTTAGCAGTCAGTGGTGATTAGCATAAACATGATGCGCGCTATGGCTGCCAACAGAGTGCTCTCCTAAACGCTGGGGTCTTTGGATGAGTGGACGATGTGGGTCCCCAAATGTAAAAAACTTACCAGCAACAGGTCTGTGACAATGGTACCCTGCACAACGCCAGCAGGACAAAAGTATGCAAGCGCGCCACTCGTAAAGTTCGATCTGCCTAAACGCGCTGCGACACAAGCAGTTCCGTGTGACGCGAGCTGGTATGGAAGAGCCCCAGCCCAGCTATTGTCGTTTGCTGCAAAGAGTGAATCTATATAAAGCAGTAAGGGAAGCTATGGGAAGCTGGAAGGGCTCTTAACTACGCTGCGCACTGTCTACTAGTAGCAAAGCGGTTTGAGCCACACAGCACCACCAGCATGCAACCACTACTGTACGGTCATCCGCTCAGCAGGGAACCCATCCTTTGCAAATGTTAGGAGTTGGGTTTCGAATGTTTCTGCTAGGTTGTCCTGAGCTTCATCTCTGAGTTTTTCAAAAATCGTCTCTCCATGCGAGAGCACAAGGGCACAGCATAACGTCGCAGAAGGCTTGCTAGGCTCTCTAATGTAGCATTGGCCAGGACTGCTTTCACTTCGATCACCCGAACTGGGATCTGAAGAGCAACGACCGCTGTATGGACTTGGATTTTGAAATCGAGGCAGCGAACGGAAGCATCGGAAGCTCATGGCCAATCATTACCCACAAGGATTCCCTTTGAGGTTTATCAGGTTGATCGAGACGCCCTCAGCTGCAAGTCATTGTTGCGGACAGTCCTCCTTCTAAAGCTGGAAGTCTACTGGCTTTCCTGCACGGAACTGGTCAACCTGGTCTGGCAAGCCTTTCATCTAAAGACTCACCGTTTCACCAAGACAGCTACTTAGCAGCACGCGCCAACAAAGTGATTTAGACCTCAAGCTCCCCATGACCAGGGTCGTGAAGTGGCCAGAGTGTTTGGACTGTTAAGCTTTTAGGTATATTGAAGACGCGCCGACAGCTTAAGGGCTACAATAGCGAACGATGTTGGCGATGTGGTTTTTGTGTAAGCGTTTGTTGGACTGACGGCATCAAGTTGGGACACCTGTTTGGTCATCTTCATCTTCTTCATCAGCAGGAACACCCTTTAGGTTCTCTTGGATCTAGCTAGATCGGACCCACGCTGCATGTGCAGATGTCAGGTAGACTCGCTCGTTCACGGCTTCGCAGGATACTTTGACTGCGCGCGGCACTCGTGTTGGCAGTCCCTGACAGTGCAGGAAAAGCAAATTGTTGGGCAGCAAAATTGCAAATTGTGCCAAGATTCGCAAGCCAAAGCTACATCAGTCCCCATGACATGGAACATAGACATGATACAGTGCAAGGTGTTGTATGGCGCGGAGAGAATATCCATCCATCCGAAGACATTGTCTGCCGGTATCTGAGATTCAGAAACTAGGTATCTATTTTCAAAAAGCTTCTGCTTCCGCGCTCAAACGACATGCCTGCAGGTCGGAATGTTCAGCTGGTTTCCAATGTTCTTCCCGCTTCGTCATCCTCAGTTTCTGCAGCGGGGCTCCGTGATAAGGAGCCAGATCTTTGTGAGTGCTGGAGACTGCTAGCTTCTTCACCCTTCACGACAAATACGGCAAAAGACTCCACGCATCCTCGCATCCTCATGACTGACATGAGGCTGCTGGCACTTTTGCATACTGCCAATGCATTCTGAACAGAGTCCCTGCTGCCAATGGCAATGCAATCCGCAAACACCTCTTCTTCGTTCCAAGCCCAAACAATGTGGTCATAACTTCCCAGCGCAAGACACTGATATGCTTCCACAAACGACTAATAACTACTATGCTTCAGCCAGACCATCCGACCACAAATCATGCTCAATCCCTGCCATCCATGGACACTTGTCGAGAGAGCGCACGCTGAAGGAGTAGGGGTACTCGTATGGACGGATAGGTAGCTGCATGCGGGAGGCTGTTGTGTGAAATTGTTCCGCTGTGTCAAAAGTGGTTGCAGTCAAAAGCTCAAGGTCTTCCATAACTCGCAGCAAGCTAACAAGCGGCTCGCGCTTAGTGTGGAATGAATTTCCTTAAGCAAGATGCCAACATCAAGTTTCGGAAGCATTCGCCTGCTATTCGCTAGCATGATATTTTCGAATTCTGAAAATCCGAAATGAATCTCACAAGAATGATGATAACGCGCGCCGAACTTGGCTTCCGCATTGTTCCCCGCAACAAAAAAAAAACAAGCGCAGCAGCTAAGAAGTGAAATGTTGGGTCAGGCAAGCCACCAGCAAACACGAGCAAAATCAACGAAGCAGATTCAGGCAGTTGCGTGCCTTAAGCCACAAAACCTCATCCTAGCCAAAGTGGCCGGCCTGTCTCGAAGCCCTGCCGACGCGGGGAAGACGGATGCAAAAGTCAAGCTTGAACGATAAACTGCCAAAATTGGGGTTTGCCCAAACTGATGGAATCGGAGTGACTTGGGCATACGTCACCTGCAGGAGTCACTGGTGGCGAAGACATGATGCTCACAAAGAAGCTGACTCAGCTTGCCAGAGTGTAATGAAGACTCAGATGATGTTCATACTTTGGTAGGTCTGGTACGAGTGGGCATTGTCAGAACCCTCGCCCAGCCCTGTGCAGCCACTTGTGCACGATTAGAAGCAGTAGACGCATGATTATTTGTGCCAGTCTGCAGCCCGTAGCTTTGCACCGCATTGTGTAATACTCTGTCATGTATGGCTGCCAGGAATTTGGGTGGAAGATCGTGGCCAATCAGCCTTCTGTGAGAAGCGAAGCAAAGCGCTATGCCTGCTGACAAGCAACAAACATGTGGCAACACGACTTCCCTGCATCTCTGCAATGTTGTATTTATGCTAGAGCAATAGCAGCAAGGCCGCGCAAGATTAGTCGTAGATCGCCCGGGTGATATTTCATCCTGTCCTCTCGAGAAAGGCCGGCGTTTGGCATGACGTGCCATTTGCAGCATTCACCTGCTGCAACTTTTGCTTCAACTCATTTGGGTCTGATGGGGTTGGCTCAAAGAGCTCAGAAGTGTCTGAGCTTTCTGGCTGCGCCCTCGGCACAATAGCCTTTGCAGATGAGCAGCAAAGCACGATGCAGATTCGTGTCTTTAGGCAATGAAGCTTCATGCTGTTGTGGGACTTTGTGTCCTCCTTTTGGTGGTTGGCTTAGTGACGGCTGCATTGCACAGAGCTGTGGAGTGATGTGCGCATGGCATCTGCTGCTTGCTCTATGTTCCTGGTTGCAAGTTCGCGCCTAAAACCATAGAACACATGGTTGCAACTACGCATTTCCCAGATGCCACGTAGCAGCACAGAATTCAAAGCGTCACGTCAAACAGACCATTAAAACAGGGGTACCCCTGCAGGAAATCCTTGTGTCCATTGATGCATTTTGGTGGGCTGTTAAGTTTTAAGTTATGAGCGAGATTGTAATGCTGCAGCAATTGACGCCAAGCAGATGCCGGACTAGAAACGAATTCAGTCGTGCAAGGAAAAAGTAGGAGATGAGCTGGAAATTTTTGAAGTGATAAGATGCACCCGCAGTAATACTGGTAGAAAAGGTAGACAGAAGTAGTTGTACGTCGTACGTAGTACGTAGTCGTTGTAATAGTAGAAGTAGTAGAAGCGGTAGTAGTAGTAGTAGTAGTAGCAGCAGTAGCAGCAGCAGCAGCAGCAGCAGTAGCACCCACACGTAGCATATCCGACGGTGGGTTAGTCCGCCTTAGTCCGCCATTGGTTGAATTCAAACGGTGTTTTCGCTGTGGTAATTCCTTTTGCTGATTTGCTTGAAGAAGTTGCTAGGGCCAAAACGCTTTTTTGGCACCATGCGAGTTTTGTGCATTTCGCTGTGGGAAATCACCCATTCTTCAACAAAACTGCGTTATCGCTGACGGGGTTCACTGACTTCACACATTCTGTCGTTTTCGATGTGTGAACTCCAACTCAATCATTTTCGCATTTGTCGCTTTTTCGCCGTGTGAATTCCAACATTCTCACGTTACTGTACCACTGCATCCATTTCATTGCATCCGGATAAGCAAGATGTTAACATCCATGTTACCACTGCATGCCGTTCATTGCATCCGGATAAACAAAATGTGAACATCCATGTTACCACCGCAATTTCATTGCATCCGCATAAGCAAGATGTTAACATGCAAGTTGCCACTGCATCCATTTCATTGCATCCGGATAGGCAAGATGTTAACATCCATGTTGCCACTGCATCCATTTCACTGCATCCAGGTAAGCATGATGTAAGCATCCATGTTACCACTGCATAAATGCAGCTACCGGGGTACCTTTGTAACGGCGCGTCCACGGAGAGCACGACACTCGCGCAGGTGATCCAAATGGTACTTATAGCAGTGCACCAACCGAGCTGAAACTTTCATGATTCAACTTATCTGGCTTACGACTAATGTGGCAGTCACTGCGAGTTTGACATGTTCTCTCTGTTCAATCGACGTCTCATGAACAAGCCGGGCCTAGCCTCCTCTTGCAACGTACAAAAAGTTGTATCTTCATTGAGCTTCTCAAAAATCGCCTGCAGCGACAGAAGAGCATGTCTCCTGGCGATGCCCTGTGCGATTGCAGAGTGCGCACCAGTGCTCTGCTTGGACCAACATGCTGCATTTCAAAACTACATTTTTTGGCCCTGGCAAATGCTCAACGACCCTAAAACCTGCTAAGTTTCTGACCTTCCACTTTCGCCGGCAGGGACAGTACTTCCTGCACTTCAGAATGTTCAATTCAATCAGGCCAAACCCCCACCGTCAGATATCCGACGTGTGCATCGCAGTAGTCGTCGTAGTAGTAGTAGTAGTAGTAGTAGTAGTAGAAGTAGAAGAAGTAGTAGTAGTAGTGGTGGTAGTAGTAGTAGTAGTCGTGGTGGTGGTGGTAGTAGTTGGTGGTGGTGGTGGTGGTGGTGGTGGCGGTGGCGGTGGCGGTGGCGGTGGTGGTGGCGGTGGCGGTGGCGGTGGCGGTGGCGGTGGCGGTACGTAGTACATCCAGTACGCATAGTAGTACAGTACGTGTAGTACATGTTACGCAGTAGCTCGTGCAGCAGCAGCAGCAGTATAGTCGGAGTGGTAGCGCTACTGCTGATTCTAGTGGTAGGGGTGGTAGTATAGTCGTGTAGCGTACGACCACTCATACTGCTATTGCTGCTAGAAGTGACAGCGCTACATAGCTCTAGTCCTAGCGCGGACTCAAGCTAGTCTCACCCCGCCGTTGGTTCTTGGTGGGCTGGTGGCGGGGGCGTCGGCGGTGGCAGCGGCAGCGGCAGAAGCAGTGGCGGGGGCAGTGGGGATGGCGGCGGTGTTTGTAACATAGACGCCGGCGGTGGCGCATGGCAGTGACCCCGATGTTGCTGCTGCGACCGCTGTTGCGCCAGCTTTGCTTTTGTTACTGTTTTTGTCTCGAAGGTGTTAGCGTTGGCATTGGCACCATCATTTGCAGCACCATTGTCGTATATTGTCGTCGTTGGCCTCCTCCTCCGCCTCCTCCTCCTAGCCGGCGCCGCCGCCTGTTGTTGTAATACTGTATGCTGTTGGGAATAAATGTACGTGGTTGTGGTTGTGGTTGTTGCAGTTGGTGTTGTTGTTGTTGTTGCTGTTGCTGTTGTGGTTGTGGTTGTTGTTGTTGTTGTTGTTGTCGTTGGTGGTGGTGGTGGTGGTGGTGGTGGTGGTGGTGGTGGTGTTGGTGTTGGTGTTGTTGTTGTTGTTGTTGTTGTTGTTGTTGTTGTCGTTGTTGTCGTGGTTGTCGTGGTTGTCGTGGTTGTCGTCGTTGTCGTCGTTGTTGTCGTCGTTGTCGTCGTGGTTGTCGTGGTGGTCGTGGTGGTCGTTGTGGTCGTGGTGGTCGTGGTGGTCGTGGTGGTCGTGGTGGTCGTGGTCGTCGTGGTCGTCGTGGTCGTCGTGGTCGTCGTGAATGTCGTGGTTGTCGTGGTTGTCGTGGTTGTCGTGGTTGTCGTGGTTGTCGTCGTCGTCGTCGTCGTCGTTGTTGTAGCTGTGGCTGCTGCTAGAGTTGCTTGCAGTTGTATGGTGTGTTTTATGTTGTTGTTGCTGCTGTTGCTGCCACTACTGCTGCTGCTTCTGCTGCTGGCAGACCCGGCGGCTGTGGTGATGATGCAAGTTGACATTGGTGCATCAATATGCGTCATCGGTGTCTGGCATGATTCGTAGTGCTCCTTGTCCGTCCTTCACATCCTCAACGTCCTGGTGCTGGTCCTCGTCAACGTCGTTGCCGCCACTCTCGCCACCGCAGTTCTTGAATTAATTATTTTGCGGGCGCTGTTGTCGTTGTTTGGGTTTTACCGTTATAGGTAGCTGTCGTTCGATTCGTTGTCTTCGAAGAAAACACAGAGATGCGACAACCTCAGTAGCATGTGGATGCAAAGAACCGTTAATCTCCTGGTTCTAGGATGCAGGATAAAGGGGAGACAAGCCGCAAGTTTCCAAATCCACGGTTTCGTATGACATGGACTTTGAAGAGATTTGTGAATTGTTTCACAAATTTGTTAAGCAGGTCAGTGCAAAGTAACCTTAGCAGCAGCCTCAGGAGCAGTCCACTTCCACGTTTTTGCGATCACAGGCTCGTTCCTGGTGCAAATGAACCTGTGCAGCGCAGACTGCTGCTGTATATCTATGTGCTACGTCAGGTACCAAAAACAGAAGCAGCATCGCGCTTGATTGAGGTGGACTGGCTGAAAACTTATAAGACCATCATTGAGCAAAGCTATTGTGGACAGGATTGCGTTATTCTGAGGATGCCGTAATCTCGAGCAATGAGACGGCCAGACTCCAGCTTGGCCAGGCCTGCTTGGAGGGAAGCCGGCTTCTTTAAGGGTGACGTTTTGTTTAAAGATTTTTTGTTTTTTTTTGGGGGGAGGGGGGGGAATTTTTGTTGTTTCTGTGGTTCCTGCTCATGT